TACAGTCATCTACAAGCTTTGCAAGTGGGAAAACCTGAAAAATCAACAGTGTATCAAATACTTGTTCTCCCCACTGTATATCTTAATAAAAATGTATCAGTGATTGTGAGTTTTGCAAACTTGTCATAAGAATATTTTATTAGTGTTAATGTTAACCCCACCAAGAATATTTAAATACACTGAACCATGTGTTCAGCTTTAATCGCTGTACTCCTGAGATTTACAGAGGAAAAAATCGTGAGAATGAGTTTAGTATTCAGCTCTGACTGATTAAACCACAGATACTTCATTGCTCCTGACAAACAGGTTACACCGAGTGGAGCGGTCGACCGTTCCAAGATGGAGGCCCTACAGCTCGTCAGCGCCAATAGACGATAGCGGTCAATGCTGTATCTAGTCATATATGATATCTATGGTCTCCACCCTCATTTGCTCCACTCTGGACCCTTGAGCAAGGTCCTTAACCAGTGTTGCCAGGTGTACAATAATTATTGTATTTGTATGACAATTTTGCCCTCTATGATGAATAATCCCCAAAAAGGCCAAATATACGATCATTTGATCATTCCGTGAATGTGTGGTTGTGATCAGTTGTCATCAGCCTCTCACAACTGTCTGTTGGAATTTTTTTGTGAACCTGAAGTCATCTGTGTCCACAAACAGAAGCACGATTGACTGGAATTTCCAGCCAATCGTGCTTTTCTAAATGTTACTATGAGTGATGTGTATGCCTCAGAGCAGCGGCCATGATTGGATGAATAGTCCGCTGCGTCCACCCCATGAGTGAGGGAAATAAAAAATAAAAGAAGAAGCAGAGCCGGTGTGGAAGCGGACTCGTCTCTACTACAGTGCATCAATAGATTTCTTATTCTGGTTATGACGGGTGTACGATAATTTCCCTCAAAATACGATAATTTTATGTCTCTAGTACGATAATCCTACATTTCTCACCTGGCAACACCACCCTTAACCCCCTCCACCTGCTCCCCTGGGCGCCCCTGAGGGCAGCGCTCTGCTCCACAGAGGCTGTGGCAGCTGTGGTCGTGTCAGGAAGAACATCTGGTGTAAAAACAACCACCAAGTCTTCATGTGACCTCATTCATTCATGAGACCTCATTCATTCATGAGACCTCATTCATTCATG